CCCCCCCCCCCCCCCCCCCAATACCCCCACCCCCTCTCACTTCTCTTACCCCCACCCCTGAATTAATCATCTTCCAGCCCAGTCCCTCAGCCGGCCTCCCTTACTTAAACTCTTGAAATACTTCAATTGGTGGTGATGTGAAGTATTTCAGAGGTTTGAGGCAAAGTCAATCGAATCAGTTTGCCAGTAAATTATCAACTGGTTTGCAAAGTTTGCTGCGATTGGCAGCTTCCTGATTCAGATATAACCACCAACAAGTCAATGGCAGCAGATTTTGCCCAAGAGTCGGTTGGCAAAATTTGATGCGATTGGCTGTTTCCTGATTTAACCATAGCCACGAACATTTCAAATGCACCAACTGTTGCCCAAGAATCGGTTGGCAAAATTTGCTGCGATTGGCAGTTTCCTATAACCACCAACAAGTCAATCGCAGCAAATTTTGCCCAAGAATCGATTGGTAACATTTGCTGCGATTGGTTGTTTCCTGATTTAACCATAGCCACGAACATTTCAAATGCAGCAAGCGTTGCCCGAGAATCGGTTGGCAAAGTTTGCTGCGATTGGCTGTTTTCTGATTTAACCATAGCCACGGACAAGTCAATCGCAGCCAGGGTGGGCACAAGCTCCAACATTAGAAATGCAAACTGTTGTGTAAACCATCTTCTCCCTGCAATTATAAGAAAGTTGTTTTGTTTAATGAGCCCTTGTCGTCTTCCAACAACAAATCACTGTAAGGTTTGTTTCTGCAAACCCGTGCTTTTCCTCCACATTCAGAAGCCCAAGCTCTTTTTGTAAGCCTGTGTCGTCCGCCAACGTTAAAACCAGAAGCTGTTTTTTGTAAACCCATGTTCTCCCTATCATTGTTGTATGTGCTACATTATGATCAAGATTCCTAACATTACACGGTTTGTTATGATGTTGGTGGCGCCTTTTTCGTGATACTGTTGTTCATATTGTTTCCTTTTGGTTGGTCTGCTTGTGACTTATTATTAGTACTGGTATAATCACTATTGATGTCAATGATGTGCGGATATCTACTACTAACTACTAATCGTGCGGATTGCAGTTGTTGTTATTGTTGTTGCTGCTGTTGTTGTTGCTGTGGTGAATGAAAGACAAAGTCCAATGAGGGGGACTTGGAGTTCATAACCCTATCTTCTTCGTCATCACAGCCCTTCCCTTTAATTAATTCAGTCATTATGTTCTACCTCCCCATCATCCCTCCAAAGAATAGCTAACTTCTCCATCTTGGAGTTTTCTCGTGCCGTCTTGATCGCCAACATCTTCACTACCTCCATCATATGACTCTGTGATTATTGTCGTTGTTGTTGTTGATGTTGGTGCTGATGTTGATGTTGTTGAAAGTAAAGTCAGACTGGCATTAAAACATAGATTACAAAAAAAACAGATAAGGGGGCACTGCTTGCGATTGACGGTTTCAAGAGGCGGGGGCCATGGCTTGCGATTTTATGAACACTGTGAGGATGATTACTGCTAGCTGTACTGATTGCGGGTGCTATTGTTGTCCCGGATAGTGTTGATGTTGTTGCTACCGTTGTCGTTTGCTGCTGTTGCTGGTCACAGTGATTGTTAACGGGCTGGGGGGGTTCGGAGTTGATGTTCCGGTAGTGTACTCAGTGTACTCACACCAAAGTAACGACAAGGACCAACTCGAAGGAACGACAACCACCAACAGACACAGAAACATGGAATATATACTGCTTCAAGTACGAATATTGCAAACAACACACACAACAAGCGATGCTAGACAACACTCGATAAACACTTAAGGAAAATAATGTTTCACATACGAACAACATCAGCAGCAGCATCCAAGAATACTATGTATGACCATAATGGCCATTATTAACCTGTTAGATTGCATACTGTACGCGCCTGCTTGCTTGTGATTCGATCAATGCTTGTTGTGCTAATCATTCATTTCCGGTTACATGAAAGGCAACGAACGGGATATCATATAAGATATTTGACACCTCAAGTATGGGTGCCGTTCACCAGGCCAAGCTTCTGAACGACATGGAAATTCGGCATTAAACAACATATCACGGTCGGTCCATTCTGTTTTTGGATTCCGGTTTGTGTAATGTAGCACTTAGCCATGCACTGTTAAGCTAAGCATTTGATATTGTATATATCAACAGCTGGTTAAATAGACCCTAAAGGTATCGGGCAAAACACACACACATATATATATAGAGAGAGAGAGAGATAGATAGATAGATAGATAGATAGGTATGTGTATATATATATATGTGTGTGTGTGTGTGTTTGCGTCTGTAAAGATAGACAGATAGTCTTAGAAGGTGGGATGGTTAGAAAAGACAAGTAGGAAAAATGTTTTCGGAAAATGAAGGCCGACAAACAATACATGAAAGCTACAGAGATGCGGCATCTTGCCGAGCCTTGAAGGTTAAGCGCTTTACGAAAGAGCCGTGCTTCCAGCCGTGCCTATTTGTGTCGGTGAAGCTCCATATACCAAATCAAAATTATTATTATTATTATTATTATTGTTATTATTGTTATTACTATTACTACTACTACTATTATTATTATTGTTGCTATTATTATCATTATTGCTGGCTCCCGAGGCCTTGTGCAACGAACGTGCTAAGTACCGGAACCTTCTGTCGCCCCGCGCCCACGGAATTTTAACTCACAGGTGAGAGCTTTTGGCCTACTTTCGTCTCGCTTTTTCAATGTTATGTTCCGTTTCTCTGAGGTATACCAGCTTGACTACCTACCAGTTAGATTTCTGTTGTGACTTGTGTGTCTGAGAAGTCTCACGTGCACATTTCACAGGTCTGCCGGTTGCAGGCGATTCGGGAAGCCAGCGTTCATGAGGAGCGCCATGAACTGGCCTTGATGCAGATCGCAGACGGTGAGAGGGAGCGCGAGTCTTTGGAGCTGGCCAACATGTTGCTGAAGGCAGAGTACGATGACTGTCTGAACGAGAGACAGGAGCTCCTTGCACAGAAAACCTGTTGTGTTTGCATGCACTCCCTGCGCTGCGTGGTCCTGCGCCCCTGCTCTCACTTCGCGCTGTGCACGGAGTGCGCAGAGCGGATTTCCAGTTGTCCAATGTGCAGAGTTCCAGTGGAACACAGAATCGTTGTGATGTTGTCCTGACTAGCTGCGTTTCCACGGTGCAGGGCTTGCACGTGACAAGCACAGCTGAGTAGAGGAGCGGTATGGAAGCACCAGTAAAAGTGGTCTGCTGACACTGACATTGAATGAACGCCACTGGATGTAGCTGTCGGGCCAGCAAGTTTGCAGTGTTCAAGGGTCTCTTTGTGCAAGCATCGGTATCAGGTGGCACCCTGGGCCTAGTAGCATCACCTCGACAGATCACAACATCAAGCGTCAGAGTTCACACCCTTGCCGGATGGTTGTGGCTCAAGCCCCCGTTGGAGGCTTGAGCACAGAGCCGCAGGGATGGGCTGTGGAGCAAGCACAGCTCCGAGAGTCGCTTGGCCAGCGCCTCCCGACGCGACTGCCAAGCTCCGTCGTCTCAGGATTCCTTCCTCCGAGAAGCGGGACATGAAAGTTCACAACCTGCACCACCTGGAGATGGCGCTTCTTCGCAAGCAGACACGTGCTGCAGCGAAAACGCACAAAAGCCAACACCGCGTTTCAGACATGTTCCGTTCCATCGATGCAGATGGGACTCAGGACCAGCTTGACGTCGAAGAGATTGAGCTCGAGGCTCAAACCTTTTTTTCGATGAAGTCGGAGGAAAGCGACGCACAGCGCCCGAACATGTACCCTTCACTGCCCAATCGGCGCATGCACGAATGGCATTTGCAGCGGATCGAACGTTTGCAGCAAAACCTTCTTGTGGACCCTAGCTTGTTTGAGTCCATCGTGGAGGGCAGGCGGGCCAGCCTGCCGGTCACTTCTCGAGGTTGCATTGCAGTGCCGCCGAAGGTCGGGAACACTCGTCATGAGCCACGAAAGCCGCAAGCACGTCAGCCAACAATGTCCCAGAGAGCCTAATCCCATGCTTTGGGCTAACCGGAAAAGCCACAAATGCTTTGCCGTGGCCGCCACGATGACGGCAGGGCATCTGTCTGCGACGAAACGGTCTCAGAGCACATCGTTTCAGCGAGGCCATGGCGCAGATAGTGGCATTCTGCCGTCCAGATGGGATTCAGTCTTTGTGTTTCAAAGCAGCGGCAGGCCCTGCCTGCAGTCTCAATTCAGGTCCGTTTTTGGAAGATCTGGAGGGTTTCGCATGTTTTGTTCCCGTTTGCGTGTCCTGGCTCTAGCCTGGTGATGCGAGTTCGCATTCACACTGACCCGTTCCTGCAAGGAAGGGCTTGACCTCGTATTGCAGTAAGTGTAGTTAGAAATAGAAGCGCATACTAAGTAAACCAAAAATATAGTTACAGCATGGGATAGTATAGTATACAGTATAGCTAACCATCCCTGCAGGAATTTGTGCTACCAGCTCCGGCTATATCTTCTTTCCAACAGTTGAAGAGAGTATTCGTAGAACAAGATCAGCTCAGAAATGCAAAAAAGGTTGGCTGAAGCCGTTTTTTTGCAATGTGTCTGGCCTGCCACCTCCGAAGCGCAACTCGCACATTCATGCACTATACGACACTCTACTCTACTGCCAGACTATACTGCTTTATAGTTGTGAGTTCCAGCCGCTACCGGTAGGTTGCAGACCGCAGGGTGGTGCCAGCTTCTGGCCTCGTTTATTCGGCTGCCTCGCACGGAGATTGTCGGCGGTAGTCGGGGATGAGCCTTGTTTGCCCGACATTTCTCCTTGCCGAGGTGCACCTCCCAGGGCTGTCGAGCGTAGGGCTTCGGGAGAATCCCGAGCCCTTTTGGACACCGTAACCTAGAGTGCAGTCACTTCTAAGCAGCTAGAGATCTCGAGAGAGAGATTTGTAAAACACAAAACGTGTAACTTGTACCACACATTACCGGTATTACTAGACCTTACGTGCACGGTGTCAGATTCCAGAGCTGCTCCTTGCCTTTCATGGCAGACAGGCCCAGCTTACGCGACCCCTTTGGCGCGAACCGTTCCATGAGGAGCTCAGACTGTCAAATAGGGGCATTGGAAAATGGAATAGGTTTTTTAGTTCCATCCAGGATGCCACCTGGCCATCAGCAAGAAGCTGTCGGGATGCAAAACAGCAAAGGCCCGTCAGAAGCCGAACGCAAAAAAAATCCATGCCGGGCCGATGTCAGACTTGGGGCGATCCCGTCACAAGAATCCTTGGGGCTAATGCTACTGTGGGTGCTCTAAGGAGCATTTACGAAGCCATCCTGCGCAGGGGACGCTTTCATTTCCATGAAGCGTTTGGAATCTGAACTAGTTCGTACGTCGTACGTGCTAAAAACGCCGCCGAGTGAGAACCACACTGTTACACGCCAGGAAGGGTTGCAGAGATGTATCTGGACAGGGTTTGGTGGAGCCTCTTCGGACATGGCAGGTCATTCGCTACAGACACCATGATTATCTCGGCCAGTGTTATCTCGGAGCCCACAACTGTCGGGCTGAAGCAGGAAGGCTTGTGACTTGCATTGGCACGTGCGGTGCATCCTAGGGTCTTGGTCCGAGCCTGTCTTGACATATTATATATATATATACATAGTATAATATATGTCTGTATATATATGTATATAGAGAGAGAGAGAGAGAGAGGGAGAGAGTACCAGCACGTCAGCATGTGGTTCTATGCGTGGAAGGAGAGGGCCCAGTTGGAAGCGATCCGACTTGCAACGGAGGCCGAGGCAGGTCGCTGGAAGTTGCGTGAGCGAGCACCAAACATGGGACTTTCCGAAAATTAGGCTACCTTATTTTGGGGGTCCTTATAATAAGGATCCTACTATTTAGGGTACTATATTTGGGTCCCCTATTTCGGAAACCCCCACATAGTTCACTGGCCATCTTCCAGTACTGTCCTGAAGCATGCTCCCGAATGGGATTGAGAGCTTGAGGGGGTGCCGGCCCAGGCGTAGGGCGCGAGGGTGGCCTAACGTGTCCGGACGTACATGTGTTTCGCATCTCTCACGTCGTCAGGTATATGATAGGTAGTGATAGCTGTATTCTGCTTCAGCCAAGAGGCCGCTGATGATGATGATGATGATGACGGTTCCGGTACCTTTTGTTTGCAACATGGACATAGAGACCAGATTGCCGATGGAATAGGAATGAAAGGTAGAGGCAGCTGAATTTGAAGACCTGGCTGACTGAAATGATAGAGCTGAAGTGTATGTCAGTGTCCTTCCCCATGTGAACAACTCTTCGTTGCAGCGGCATCTCTCACGGCTCGAGCTTGGCCAACTCGCCTAGGGAGACTTTGTTTTGCGTCGCATCCACTGCACTGCGCCATGTGCGAGTCGCGGTTCTGCACGAGTGATATCAGGAAGACGCTAGTCCCCAAACCCCTGCTTAAAGGCCTCAGTTGGCGACAAACAGCTTGGTTGAATCTTGCAAAGAGTCTAAAGAGGGTCCTCGAGAGCCTGTTGCCTGACAGCTCATTGTAAGAGATAACCAGGCCCAGGGATATACTACTGTGTACGTTCATGGAGCTGTATTTGTACCTGTTTTTATTATGTAGGGCTCCAATCACCACCTATTGCGGTTATCAGTTGCCTGGACGGGTCGATGTGTATGTCATCTTTTGGATTGGACCATGACACAGCCGCAGCACTCCACAGCTTGCAAGACGAAGCAGTCCGAGTGGCAAGTCATCAGAACTCTAACAGTGGGCCTAAGCCTAAACTTGGTGCTAAACCTGACTTGAGGGGAACAACAAAGATGGATTATGCATCAGAAATCCAGAACTACAGCGCACTGGAGGCCTTTTGTGGTGTTACTTGTAGCAAAGATAGTCCTCCGGATCCTCGAAGCCTTCAAAGCCCAGGTACAATGCCCTCACCGCCAACGCGTTTGCGTATCCAGCCGGACCTCAAAACCCCAAGGCAAGCCAGACTGCCTTGGTTGGTTTGAGAGTATTGCGACATTTCGTCTACGCCCTCTGTACCGTAGGCCTTGAAACTGAACACCCGGGTCAAAGCTGAGAGAGCAGCTCGCGAGAACATCGAGTACTGTGTTGATGTTGGGAACGACAAAATATCTAAAGCGTAGTGGTAGGTAATGATTTTGCCCTTTGAACTATCCCATGTTCCCATGATGGAAACATGAAAGCTGAACCGGAGCCTTCTCAGATTCTCTAGTATCCGGGTCCCACCTTGCGAAGAGGTTACCTACCAAGACATGTCGTGGCAATCCTTGGAATGGCTTCCGGAGCAGCAGGATTCCTCTTGTGACGAGGGCCAGATAGCCCTAATCCCTTGCAGGCAGAGCCAGTAGTGGCATGTATACTGATCCCGCAATGATCCCTGCAGAAATATTTTTGGAAGCTTGTTGCTGAAGCGCCAACTTACGAACTGCCTCATGACCGTCCCTGCAAGATCGCACCCATTTTCTGCAACTATATCTGCAGCCCTGATTAGTAGACCTTACAGGAGCCCGTCAAGGTTTCCCGTATCGCAAAGCTTATGGGAATGTAGCCTCCTGATTGCTGGAACTGTAAAGCCCCGGTTTAAACGTGGCATTTGACTCTTGTAGGAACCCCGCCTTAGTAGCCCCCAATATCACAATAACCAATATGGCAACATGTCGTAGCCATTATCGGAACCCTTCTCGGAATGTAGCTTATCAGCCTCACGGCAAGGCCGGCCGCAACTCCGTGGACGAGCTGCTGTTAACTGCCGCCAGGGCCGCTTGGTAGCAAAGAGCCTAGTTAGCCATCAAGGGGTTTGGGGTGTATAGGTTCTAGAGGATTTTGGGGATTGCAGTTTAGGGGCTTATGGTTGAGGCTAGCGGGTAGCACGTAGAATTAACAACAACTCCTAATCCCTCGAATCCTGTAAACCTAGCCGGCCAGAATCCTAAAGTTTGCACGGGCTCGGGTTTTGATGTTTATTTGCTTTTTGGCTTAGTGTGGCTGACCGATTAAGCTGCTTAGAGACATGGTATATAAGTCTTTGCAGGTTCGTGGTTGAGGCTTCTGGTCCTGGTTGAGGCACAGCGGAGGAACTTGCGTCTATGACTCGACGTGAAATCACCTCGCGCCGCTCGCACGGGTTCGCAAAGCATTGGCCAGTGGACGCAAAAGAGTTCGCGAGTGCCGGGGGTAAGCCGAGGAGCGACGCGAAATGTTGTGGCAGAGTCCTCGTATGCGGAAAGCAGACGCGAAATCACACGAGAGGGATATCCAGGCGGCTGTAGGTTTTGCATCTTGAGGCTGGAGTCTGAAGTCCTCCAGACTGCACCAGCCCAAGCACAGCCCATATACCCCAGGAGTTATCAGGGTATATTGGTCGTTTTTGCTCTTGGTGCTGACCTGTTGTTAAGTCTCATAGGCCTACAGTGCTTAGGTATGGGGTTTAGGCAGCAACTGGCTTGGGGTTTAATAGGTTTCTACGGTTCAGGGTGGGGGGATGGTCGGGCATCTTCAAAGAGTATTTCTCCATGAAACCCTCAAAGCGCCTTCTTTGAACCCTTCTGGTACCCCTGTAGTACCCTTGTATAGTGCTCGTATAGCTCCCGGCGAAAGGTGCTTCTCATCCCCTGCGAAAAGCACAACTCCTGCTTTGCAGTCATTTTCCCACAACATAGTCCCCACGTATCTCCCCATAGGGACATGTACGAATGTACCCCAAGATGTTGCTCTGATTGTGAGATCCAGGGCCTCCAATCTTCATGCTTCAGGCCTAGACTCAGAATGTAGTAGGGCGCATGTCCCAAGTACATACACCTCCTGTTACTTCGATGCGCTTTAACGTCCGTAAGAGTTCAGAGGTTCGGCTTTCGGGCTCCGGGATGGCAGCCCTTGCCAGGCTATTGCTGAATATCAACGTGCCACCTAAATCTGCTACAGGCTTTAGGTTTCTTGTCGATGGGGAAGGATGCCTCGGATTTGTGTTGTGACTGCTGCTGGTGTTAGAGCCCCGGTAAAATATCATGAAGCAGGCTGGCAATCCAACTGCATGCCTGTCTTGCCTCCATTATCCCCGCGACGGCCCTACATACATCCCAGGAGAGTGCAAATGCGCCGAACCGGGCATTGAAGCGACGTGTCCGCCAACGCTTGCACAAGATTCTTGCCTCAAGCCCAAGGTGGGCAAGAATGCTACATAATGTCACGACTCACTGAACCCTTAATTTAACTAAACCTCGCATGGTATGCATGGTTTGGTGGCGGGATCCTGACTGTGATGCACGCATGTTCGGGCCTTCGGTTGTTTGACGCTGAGGTATTCAAGGCCATGAAGATTGTCAGCTGAATAATCCATGCCCACGACGAGATCGGAGAAATCGTAGCCCGTAACTTTGTGCATAAATTCTTTTGGATCAAGCGTGGCTGCCTCAGGCTGAGCATGCTTGGGCAACAGCAGAAATTGGTACAGGCATGTATGATAAGAGCTGCACGTCCATTTCACTTATAAGGTCAGCGGCATGCAAATATCTATGGCCTATGTTGTGAGAAAGCACTGAAACTCTGACCGCTGAGATGTGGCTGACGATTGTAGGTCAGGCAAACCCGAAACCATGGATACAGCCAGGTTCCTGGTACAAAAAAGGAAGGTTCTGCAACTTGTGTTCAGAAAGATCAGCTGCCGGCATTATATATGCGGCTAGCTGCGGCTAGCTGGTCTCTGCTGGAAGCTTCTAGGTTTGCGTAGGTCTTGAAGATACTTCCGGTAGAGGGTTGTTCTAGCTGACCCTGAACCCTAAACCTTGAACGTTGCGAGAGCATAAACCCTGAAATGTAAGGTTCTAGGGCTCAGGGATGCCCTGAGCCCCCGAAATCCGAAGCAACATCGTGTGGATCTCGGGTTTTCGCAGGCCGGGAGCGGAGAAAGACAACTTTAAACCCCCGTTAATTACAAATCCGAAGCCATGAGAACTTTAGGGTTTAGAACTTATAGGCTTTATAGGGTTTAGGCTACCAGAAACAATACCAAGAGTTGGTGGAGCTTTCAAAGATGGCGATTTCCTATACCCTAAACAAGCCCGCCACCGAGGAAGCTGGGCGCCATATTGACGCTAGAAGAGTTCGAGAGCGCAAAGGCAAGGCCGCCGCTCTTTCTCCGATTTTTCGGGTGTTCGACTGTTCCGGAAACGGGTGTCGTGTCTTCCTTCCCTTGATAATTACCCAATTCCGAAGCCCTAGAAAATCCCTAAGACTTCGTCCCGTAGCCGATAGAAACCCTATAAACACAGGTGATAAAAGCGCAAACACTAAAAAACAAAGAACAACGAATCAACCTTGCGCCCTCAACCCACGTAAACCCTAAACCCTAAACTCCAACCGGAAAAAAAGCTCTAACCGGCAGGAACGCTTCAGAGCCATGGAGGAGCAGCAGTCAGCACGAGCGAAGCTCGGAGGCTTTAGTGGTAGTTCCTACTCCTGCCAATCATTTAACAGACAGTAATAGTCGTTGAGAACAGATAGTACTATAATATTATGTTAGGTCAAGCAGGTAGTAATGCTCAAGAATAAACGAGAACAGATTAGGGTCAGTAAGAAGAACATGAACTTGTTCATTAACTACTTGGTTGCTTACTTGACAGCTAGTAAACCAGTTAAGTAAACAGGTAAGATAGAAGGAAGCGTAAGATTAGAAACAGCAACTCAACCAAAATCAATAGTAACGGTCATCATAACAGTGGTCGTATTAACAACCAGTAGCAATAATCATTTTCATGCCTACTACTGAACGTATAAGAATGATGGTGATACTGGTGATGATGATACATGAATAGTTAAAGACAAATAGCAGCAACATCAACACTAAGCAGAATAATAATGAGACCAAGTGGGTAAAACATAAGAGCACTAATACCGCTAATTAGTTTCAGTCAAAGTACGAATGACAACAGGAACAATCATGCTAATACAAATGCTGCTAATAACAGCAGCATCAACCAGCAGAAAACACATAGTGGCAGTATAAACAACAAGGGGCCGGATAAGAATGGTGCCCATGCACCCCAAGCTCTGGATCTGTGCAGGAGTCTTCACGTGCCTTTCGGTCTTGGGGCTGAGAGTTTATAGAGCTTAGGACTTAGATTCAGGCATTTTGGGGGTCATAAGGACGTAGAATCTTAGGACGTAGGATTCAAGTCTATATACAGTAGCCTCCAACATCCTCGTCATCATGACCGTGATCGGCTTCTTTGGGAAGGAGGAGGTGTAAGATGAATTGAGGACCGAAGGCCCCACCATAGAGCCAACCACAATGAAACAGCGGGCCACCGATTACACGATATAATACATTGACACATGTATGTATATATATATATATGTACATATAATTATATGATATTTCTATTGGTTGGCCATTCGTTCTTTTGTTTACGTACATGCGCCCATGTACAGGCTCAGGTGTCCGGGCCCACTTTTCCCTAGCAGCTTCACGGGTGATGGCTAGAGTCTAGCGATTATAGCTCCGACATTCGGTGTGTGGAGCACAACCTGTACAGCGCGCTCACCAATAACGCTCGTGAAGTCCTGCAGCCCCAAGATTTGTCTCAAAGGCAATAAGGTTGGGAAGTTGCCTGGGTCATTGTCCACCTGCCTGAATCTCAATCTCTCGATCAACACGCCGAGGACTGGCACTGCCATTACTGCAAGCTCGCTTCCTTCGCAAATTCCGCCTCCAAGTGGATACGGCCCGCCCGACATACTGGGTCTTCTGTGGCGCATCTGACTGACCTGTTCATTGGTGTGTTTGGGGTCCTTTCTGCTAGTTCGTGCAGCTGGTTCCTGTGTGGGGGGGGGGGTTGCTCGTCCGAGGTAGCCCTCAGCGCAAGGTCGTAGCTGTTCATGGCACTTCCAGCCAGCTACACTACCGAACTACTGACTCTTTGACCACGGGGTATGTTTCTTTTGTTTCTTTTCTCTGTGGACAAGTCGCAGTGCATCACGCAGCGTGGATGTGTGTACAGGAGTGCTGGCCATTCAGAGTCGAGAGCGTGTCGAGCAAGTAGTAAAGTAGTGGTCTTTCGGTCGCCATGATGGCCATGAGAGCTCTTTGCATGTTGCTGCAGCTGGCTGCCGTCTCTGCGTCGTCGCGCGACTGGCTGGCACCCTTCCGGCGGCTGCAGGTCAGCGCCCCAATGGTGGTCCACGTCACCACAGACCCAGCTCGGAAGCATCCTGTGCTTGAAGTTGCGGCGGACGCCATGGGACTTGGATGGACAGTCCAGTCCCAGGTTCAGGTCATGACCTT